CACAACACAGGCGCACGCTATTATTGTTTTTATTTTAACGTGTGGTGTCAGCGAACACAATCTGTCACCGCGATGACAGATAGTATACGTACGTCTTACAAACCGTATAATACACATTAGAGAGATGTCAGAAATAACGCATGAAAATCAAACTCAAAAAGTAGTAAAAAAGAAGAGTGGAAAAACAACACGATTTGTACGACACGAATCGAGAAACACATTCGAGAAACGTCCAATCAGCGTCGAGATAAAAGCGGGAACAATCAATATCGAGAGAATCGATTGTGATTATTTACACACGCTTTTTCTGATAGTAAAAAAACGCGAAAGAGCTCCATCGACATTGCATCAATTCTGAATTCTGCGCGATAGGCAGGTTGGATAAAACGTTATCTTCCTGTTGCGCGCGCGATGCCGTTGTCTAAATTAAACGCGTCTTCTCTCGGAGAAGATTCTCTCCGATTACAGGGGATTGCACAATTTTCTAAGTACATACGCGCCGCGATAGCGCGACGACTCATTGGCGGTTACGTTAACGGCCAATGATACATTGTACGTACAACACGGACCTTCGACAACAATTTAGCCACAATCGCTATTTGTTTCGCAGAAACGCTATTTTCCGCCGGCGTGCCTCGATCGTCGCAACCTTCGTTACAGTCTCAAATCGTCTGCAAATTGTGTAGCGCGCGATACGATTGCGTGCGGCGGTAACGCAATTATTCGTCTCTTCAGGCGGTTATTATTATCGCAAACAGATGCGAAGGGATATTATTTTAATATTCACACAACGCGCGCTAAACGAGCGTCATCGCAGACTGAAATAGACCAGCTATGAGAAGAAGAAAGAAAATGACAGCTAATCTATTCGCGTATGTGCAAACACACTACGCGCGCGCGTATCTTTTTCCTCGTAATAACCACTCGTGACAATGAGAATGGCGAGCGCACACGGAGGCGGAGTTTTGTATTCCGATCGATAAGCGGATAATCAATTCCAATCTCCGTCCGTCGCGTCTCGCGCGCCCGTTTCTTCGATTCTTCGCGCGGCGCGGATATAATTCCAGTATCTTATCTCCAATCAGTCATAGATCGCGGGCCGATGCGCGACCGCGTCGGCGATTGTCACGCCATTGGACGCTCTGCGATTGCCCGTCTTGAGCGGTGAGAGAGAGAGAGAGAGAGAGAGGAAGACTCTCGCGCGAGTGAGCGTAAGAAGAGAGGCGAGAGAGAGAGATCGGAGAGTATCGAGGGAAGAGAGAAAGAACCAAACGCGCGCGGGACTAGCGATAGCGCGAGCGAACTATTGAAGTGCGCGATTCCTCGCGAGAGCGAGCGAAAGAAACGGGCGGAGAGACAAGGAGAGATCTATCGAGGCAAGGTTAAAGAGAGAGAAAGAGGGGACTATTAACCGCGTTGGCCGTTGACCTCCCGCTTGACGCGGCAGGGAGATATTACACGCGAGGCGCGAGGGTAGTGGAAAGGAGGCCACCGAGGTGGGGAAGAGGAGGGAGACCGGGGATCGGGCGGCCGATCGATCCTCTCCTCCGAGCGCCGCAAAGCCTCATAACTGTGCTGGCGATCGTCGAGAGAGCTGACGAATGATCGGACGCGATCGATGAAGGAGCTTCTCGCGGAGCGATTTGCAATTAACACGCTTCCGCGCTTCTTCCAAGAGTTTCCGCAGGTCGTTGACACTCTCCCGTCTCCGGGCGATATAAAACAACGCCGGGAAGATCGGTCGCTTCTCTCAACGGGTTTTTCCGTTGCGGTTTGAACCTCCTCTTCCGCCTTTTTCCCGCTTCCTCGACGATATTTGAAATTCCGTTGGACTTTTCGTTCCGAGGAAGGAAAGAAAAAAACAACACGCGTTTCCGCGATCGAGAACGCGAAACAGTTTTTGCGAAAGTAATATCCAAATACGGTATCTCGATATGTTTACATACGGTGGGATAATGTAGATTGCACGCGCGCGGTCTGGCGCGTCGTCGCACCGCAAAAGCCGCGGTAACGCGTCGCTGCGTGACATTTTCAGTAGGAAACAGCACGTTCGCGAGCGTTGTTGAGGTCTCGGCGCGCGATCCGATCTGTCGGACGGGTCATGTTTGAATTTAACGAGATCATACGCCCCGGACACGGTTCGTCCAAGCGGGCATCCGGTTCTCTCTCTCTCTCTCTCTCTCTGTGTATGTCTGTCTCTCTCGCGTCGGGCGGAACCGAAACGAAACGGCGTCAACATCGATTTCCCGAATGTTTCTGCGTTTTGAACGCACTTCCGTCTCCAACGACGCGAGCTCCAATCTGATTCCAACTCTGTGCGACACGTCAGCACTCTCGCGATGTTTGTCTTGCGATACGCGTGTATAACGGGAGATATACACGCGTACGCACACGACTAGCGTCATCGGACATCCTTCGTAGGCGCTGAAAGCCCCGCATTGTGTCAAACCGCCGTGCGAGCGAGTCAAAAAGCTCAACCGCGAATCGACGCGTTATCCTTATCGCTGTTTGACTTCTGGTCCCTTCACGTTGCGTAAAAAACTGATGTATTTCCCGGGGTCATCGTCGAGTTGGTCACGTTTCGATTGGCCGTTGAAATTTATTCGCGCGAAAACAAATAACAAGCGGCTTAAAATACAAGCGATACGTACGCTTCAAGGAGATTTGAAATGACACGCCTCTCTTGACGCGCGCGATATCCACTGTTTGATTTTATACTTGCGTAACTATAGATGTGATTATCATTTTTTTCTTTTTTTTTTTTTTTACCACGCTTCGATCCGTCCCGCTCGAGATGTTATTCCGCGGCGATTGCAACACTAGCCTCGTGTATTATTGAATCTCCCTGTATCGGCGCGTACGTCGCGCGTATATTCGTCATCATTGGCGAGTGTTTCAAATCGCAAGTCGTTATCGTCGGCTCGTGTCGTAGGTGTGGACGCGCCCTCGATTCAGCTTCACATTCGTATCTTATTCGAACACGCGATCGACATCTAAGATCGTGCGCGGTTTTTTTCTTCTTTTATCGGAACGATTGAAAAGTTTGCTCGGCCCGAGTCTCGAAATATCGTTCGCTCGAACGTATTTCCGTCCGCGCTGTGATCGCGTGCGCGCTTTCCCACACGCGGAGACACGTCGTCGGTTGGCAGACTCGGCAAACTCGAAAAAATGATACACGTAGGTAGATATATATATATATATGTGTACGCGGCAGGCAGGTACACATTAATAGACGTGACGCAGGAAAAACTTGCCGCCACGTCAGCCGCGGCTTTAGCCTATATATCGATTGGCGATTCTCAGGTTGGACCGCGCGCTCTTGAGAGATTTACCGCCGCGGTTTCAAAGAAATCAAACGTTCCAGATTTTTATTTTCGCGCGATATTCGAACACTGTGCGAGCGTCAACGCATTCGCCCGCTCTCGCGCGTTTGTCATTCGATTAATTGCGACAAACTGTTTCAAATATTTTTCAAATTTGTTTTATTTTTGAATTCTTCAATTCTCTGTCTCTCAATCTTGTAATTTTTAATTATAAATATTTGGTGTGTGGACTTGCAGAAGAGAAAGTTTCTCTCTGAGAAAGAAAATTATCTATTTTTCCACGCGTCCGAGTTGGCGTTTTATTTTTTCCAACAACTGTTGCATATATTGATGCCACTCTGCGCGATTTGCGGCTATTATCGAATCGTCAATAATTCGCGCGCGTATCGCGTTCCGGCAAAGTGGAACGCGTAGCAACAACCTGAGTTGAGAGCGTTCAGCGTTATTGGGCCGCTGATCGGGGCGTTCATCTCCATTTTGTTGTTTTTTTTGTTTTACATAGCAAAACCATCGGCCGGTTAGTAGCACGGCCGGTTTTCCCCGCATAGAAGACCGACAAGCGCATCTTGGTAATTAACACGCGCCGAGCGCTGATCATTTATACTGATTCCGCGTCCGATGGTGATTAAATCACGCCTTGGGAATCGCGCCTTGAGCCGCTAATCGAAGTGTCGTCCCGGTTTTCGCCCTTGCTTACCGATCATTTGTGCTACATCTTATTAGGGCGCTTCGTCTAAGAAAAGCGATTCAATCGGCTTTTCGCTCGAGATCGATACTAGCCTGGAAACAGAAATAAAACGCTATTCGGAAATTACATTATAGTTTCCCAGTCAAGAAGAAGAGCAATCGCGACTTTGCGAAATACGTTTAAAAATTGCAGTATTTTTTTCTTCCTTCACGATTTTTTTACGAAGCGAGTCGCGCGCACCAAGTCGGCTTTCAAAATTCAGAATATCATTAAGACTCGGGGTTCTGGCGAAATCGAAGAGGACCTTGCGCGATTCGATCGTTAGTTCGCGTTCCCTGCCACTCGCGATAATTAACGTTAGTTCTATCCAAGACACTTCGGGTTGTCTGAGGTTCGAGATAGAGGAGATATCCTTGACATCTCGTTCGTTCGAGCGGGAATTGCGAGACTGGATGTACTTGAAGACAAGCCGAGAGAAGAAAAACGATCACTCGACGGGTGTCAATGGGTACACGTCAATATTTATCATCGAATAGCAATTAAAGAGATGACGGATCGAGGATGCGTGTGTCTAGAATTCTCTCAGTCCAGAGAATCTGACCTTCATCTCTAAGTGCGTAGTGATTAATGGAAACTCGCGATAGAGACGCGACGCGACCGCGAATACGCTTGGAAACAACAGACGAGGCGAGCCGAAAACAGCGTCCCCGTTTATCTTTGGCCCGAGAATTTTTCATCAAATCGACCCACATATCCAGTCGTCCCGGCCGACATTGATTCGTTCCTGATAACGCGCACCCGCATGGAAAACGCAGACTGATTTATCGCGAAAACGCTCACCTCGAATCCTTTTTGTTCCGATCGCGCGGAATGTGACGACGTCGATATGTAATTCACATGATCAACATTGCTGCTCGAATTATTTTATCCCGCGAGATATACGCGCGGTTTCCGACCTCGCTTCAGAGAGTTTGCTTTTTGCTTTTCAGCGACAGGGGGTAATACGATTCCGGAAGTCGTTGCCGGACGAGGTTTCGCCGGACGCCGGCGAAACGCGCGTGCTGCGGGAGTTGGGCTACGCCAGGAACGTGGTTTCCGCCTTTTTGGGCTCTTACATGCAGATCCCCGAAATTGTACGCTACGACAGCACCGACGTGGCCAAACTGTCGGACGCCATTCGCCATCTTAGACCAGGTAAATTCCCAAAGTCCCATAAGTTATGTGAAGGTATCGCATTTGGAGAGAACGCGAGACGAGAAAACTGCGACTTTCAATTCGTTCGGCTACTTTTCTTGTAGTTTTAAATGCGTTTCTGTGAAATTTAATACACATTTTTCATAATATCACATTAAAAAGTTTCTATTCAAAACGTTACAAAAATAACGTAAAATGGATATTACCGTTTTTTTTTTGTTTTGAGATATAATAAGATAAGAGATACGAAAAACGACGCTTTTCTTTCTTAGACCGGCGCCGCGTCTTTTTAAACAATAGATTTTCCTCCCGTTACTCTCTCACGGGATCGTGTGCTCTCTCACAGGATCGAATAGGATCTCGTTAAGAGCCACGGTTTTGTGTTTTACAACTTTTTTCAAACCCATCAAACAATTCTTCCCATGTTACGCTACATGTTGCGTACTTTTATACATTTTTTATCCAATTATACGTATACATATTCTCTACATACAATATTTATTCCGATAAAGAGAGAAAGAGAGAGATAAGTTTTCCATATTTATACACACGCAATTCGTTCGTGAGAGATGATCGCACGAGCAGGTGCTGGGCACCGATCGTGACTAGTTTCGATCGCGCCGTCTTCTGGTTTTTACCATCGAGGCGGACGGAGGTGCACCTGCCCCGTCCTGTTATTTTTCGACGTTTGCGGGACGACTAACGATCTTTGTTGCCTCGATGTTGTGAAGCCTCGCGGGAGTTTCTCGTGCACGCGCGGGGCAAGCCGAGGAAGCTGAAATTTCATCGATTTCGTTGCAATATGTTGCAGGCAAACAACAGGCGATCCGGTTGCACTACTACGTTGTTGTTCGCTGCGCGACGTTTTCTTTCTCGCGCCACCGATCGATAGTATCGGATTACAATCTCGCAGATGTATAGGGGAAAGGGGGTTATTCGTTCGAAGGAAAACCGACCGATTTGCTTAGACCGTTCCGGATCGATTTGCGATATTCCAATATTTTTTAAATATTCTGTAACTCCAGCCAAACTGTCGACCAATCGAATTAACATTTAAATCCGCGAAAATTAACTGCGATTCGAGCGGCATTAAACTCCGAACAGAAATTACACAGTGCCGTTTCATCTGCGGGAAATCTTTTTTTTTTTTGTATTAGTTTTTTTTATATCGACAGACGAAAAAACGCGCGATATCTGCGATTGACGGCGCGTCCGTCATCATTCCATTGCGTTCGAGAGATCTCTCGCTTTAATCGCGCTCACGGGAGGTAAAAGTACATCGCAATATATTCCAATTACTTTGAATTCTCGCGAATAGAATCAGCAGCCGTCACTCGCCGCTGCCGTTAATAATCACACACACAACGCGGTGGCGGCGGCGGCGGTGGCTGCGGCGATAATTGTATTGACATTTTATCCGAATGGCAAATAACAACTTTCCACTCGGCGGAGCGCGCGCACTCTCGTCAAAATCGCGAAACGATTTCTCGCGCGGGTGTGGGCGGCAAATAAAACGTTTCGAGACATGGAAATCGGCTCCTCCCTATTCGAAAGCTCGTCTGGCTCGGCCGGGAGATTAAAATCCGCCCCGCTCGGTTCCCTCGCGCGCTCTCGACCCCGAATGGGGCAACAATGTTTGTGTGTCGTCGTTCGCGAATTCAAAACGAAAAATTGCGTTTTGTTTCCGAAGTCGCGATGGTTGCGACCCTAATTACGAGAAAATGCGCGCTTGTCTCGAACGAATAATCCCCGGACTTTTTCGCCGACGCGATCGCACCCTGGCGCAACGCGATCGATTTTTACGGTTTAAAAGCAGGAACAACTTACGGTTTTCCAGTTGAATGTCGCGACGGGCGCTTATTTTTCGTTGAAACGGGAATAAAGTGCACCGCGTCTATCTATCTATCTATCTATCTCTCTCTTTCTCTCTCTCTCTTTCTCTCTCTCTCTTGGACTAAATTTACGACGCGCAGCTCCCGCAGGTTGCGCGACCCACACTCTCCGCCTGCAGCTGTGCACTCTCGAAAGGATGACGTCGCCAGACGAGGAGCGTCCTCGAGAAGATGTTAAAACCGGCATCGCCGTGAAAGCCACGTCGTTGGCTCTCTAGCGCTGTTATCTCTTTCTTTTCTTTTTTTTCGAGTCTTTCTCTCTCTCTCTCTCTCTCTCCCTCCCTCCCTCTCTCTCTCTCTCTCCGAGATTTACGCAGCCCACATGCGTGTCTACTTCTATTTGAGCCGCGTCTCTTAATTCAACGTGGAATTTCACGTTCCTAACTCACACACAACCGAGTCCGACTCTCTCAGTTTACATGAAATACACGACGCGTCTTGTTCTCAAATCCAAGAGAAAGAGAGAGAGAGAGAGAGAGAGCATTTGTAGATGTGCGATCAAATCGCTTTGTGTTACGAAAAGGCCACGAGTGTGTCAAACGCGCGCGTCATTGGAAGAGTCGTTGGTGTGAGGTCGTTTAATAAATATCGCTTTCAGCCGCCGATTTCGACGAAGGACGAATATTGATCGCGCGAGCGGGCGCGCGGTGAATAAAACATCTCGTTAAATATAGCGCAATTGTATTTTCGTAGGTGTTTTTTTACTTTATACCGTAACAAAAATCCGATAAAAAAATATCTGTCGATAGAAGACAAAGATTGCTTTTATTCGCGATATACAAAATCGGTATCTTAGAAGAAATCGAGAAACGAAACGCGTCAACGAGTCAAATAGTTTCGACAAAGAATCGCTTTCAATATGCTCTTCGAACATCGAGTCCGATAAAAAGACGGCGATGTCAAAAGTCGCGATATAAAAATAACGAACGACGCCTCTCGTTGAGATGCGATGTTTCGGAGAGACGCGGCGACTGTAGCAATTAAGAGAAAGAGAAATCGGGAAAACGCGAGCCGATGGATATTCCAGTCGTATTTTTCCGCCATTGTGCGCCTCCTCGTCTATTTTTCTCGCTTGTTTGACGCTTTTACGGAAATAGCTCCCGGAAGTTACAGGTGGACACCGACTTGCAACTTCAACAAGACGCGGCGTAAACACAGTTGCCTCGCTATGGTAGACGTTTGCTGTTCGCAAACGATCGTTTGATATTTTTAGACGACGATAAAGCATCGCGCTTGATTCTCCGCCGATATTCAGCCCATCTCCGAGGTCTCGCGCCTAGATAAAACGAGATAAATTTATTTTCTATTTGCCGCGCAACGAGAGGCCATATTTTCGCACGTACCGCAGTCTTGTATTTTCGAACAAGACGGATTTTTGATTATTGAGATCAGATCGTCGACGAGATGCGTGCGATACACGTAGCGTTCGTTCAGCTATGTGTGTGTTATCGATTGCAAAAAAGATTATAAACCGGTATCGAGAAATAAACACACGCGCCTTGATCTTCAATTAATTTAAAGCGTGTGTACTAGAAGAGAAACGCCCACATGTTTTCTCTCTATCCCTTGGCGAGAAGGAAAATCTCGCGGCGATGTCTAGTCCCTCCTAGAAAGGGGATGCGTCTTTTGCTCTTTCTCTCTCTTTCTCCCTCTCGGGAATTTATTATTACGCGAACGCAAAGGTGCGAGATCTCGGGGGGGAGGGGGGGGGCTGTCACGCTATTATCGCGAGCGGGGATATTATTTTTGAATAATGCAGCGACGTTTATCATCCGCCTATCGGCAAGAGATCCGCCCCATTGTATGCAACACGCGGTAATTTCGCGGGATCGCTTTCCTTTTTTCTTTTTGGTGCGATTGCCCCGGGCGATCGTCGTCGCTGGCGCCTTATCCGAACGAGCATCGAGAACGAGCGAGAGAAAACGAGCGCTCCGCGCAATCTCTCGCTTAGGATTTTATTTTAATTGCGTGTGTTTTTCGACAAATTGAATTCGATAGAAATTTTAACGCGACACAACACACACACACACACACACACAGCGGAATATAAAAAAATTAATTGTAGAATCGCGCTCTATTTTGTTTGCGGTTTGTGTTATTCGCGTTTGTTCAACAACGGACAAACTCGCATAAATGGGTGTGTTTAGCCGAAGTTAGCGCTACGTAGCGGCTTCATGTAGCAGTTGCAACTGCTGCGTTACTTCTGCTGGACAGTATTGCTACGCGCAGCATGTTCTAAGTAGTGGCCGCCATTTACAATAATACCGTCCCAATTATAATACTTTGACACTTTTTTGCCATTTTTATAAATAAGTAAAAAACACAGTTTAGCAACCGAAGAATACAACGGCGATTTGTATAAAAACATATTTGCGCTTACAAAAAGCGCTGCGCGTAGCAATACTGTCCAGCAGAAGTAACGCAGCAGTTGCAACTGCTACATGAAGCCGCTACGTAGCGCTACGTAGCGCTAACTTCGGCTAAACACACCCAATGAATCGGCGCGATGCACTCGTTTGCACTCACGTCCGCACACGTTTGCGCACGTGTGGGCGTGGTGGAGAACCGACGCGTTGTTTACGCGTACGTATAAACGCGCGTTAGCATCGACCGGTGCTCCGGATGTTTTCCACTTCTTTGACACGAGGTCTTTGTGAAACGGGGTCTTGGAAGAAATGTGTGCGAGGTCTCGGATAATGCGGACCGGCAGGATGTACGCGCTGCTGCTTCCAGGGGTTTGCAACCGGGAAGATGCTAATCGGCGAACCTCGTAATTTGTTCCGTTCGCTGCAGTGAGGGAGGGAGGAGGAGAAGGTGTACCTTGCGGCGAGCGAGAAAGCGTCTCCCGTCTTATCTAAACACGCCGGCTATCGGATCCTAATGCTGAGAGAGAAATTTCGCGCGAAAATGTATAGAAACCTTTGTAGCGCGTGAAATTTCTTTACTTCTCCCCGCTGTTTCGTTTGTTTATTTTTATATCGAATAAATTTGTATTTATCTGTTTGCGCCGGCGAAAAAGTACCTCTCGCGGCAACGCAACAAGTGGTCGGGCTTGTGCTCTTCCGCTTTTCTTTCCGCGCTCGTCGTCGATATTCCGACGCGCGTTGACGCTTTCTCCGCCGACGACGATTGGAAAAATAGAAGCCGGCTTTCTGCGAGCCCTTCTGTGCCTCTCTCTCTCTCTCTCTCACACACACACTCGTCACGTCGGGGTCGACTACTACAAAAAGGAAAAAAGCGCGAAGAGGTAAATGACGCAGAGCGCCGTGTGTGCGAGAGAGGAGCCAGAAAATATACGTCGCGAGGAGTAGCTGCCGCGCAAAGGAATTCCTCGGTCGGAGGGTGACGTCTGACTATTTCGAGAGGTGCGCACCGTTAAGAAAACGGATAATTACCGTTGAGACTGGCGCATAATTTCTATTCGGGGAAAGGTCTCTCTCGAAAAGTCTAACTCGAATAATAGGTTTTTTTTTAATCTTATATCTGTAATTAATAATTTTTTCCTCTTGTGTATATGCTCTTTGTAGTTTTCAGTTTGAATTATTTACGCGTTGCGATCTGAATAACATAGAAGTGAATTTAGTATTTTTTTTTTTTTGTATTTTTTTATGCGTGCGCGACGAAAAATTAATCGCGACTTTTTGTTTGTTTTAACGAGCGCAAGAAAATTTGACGAGTGCAGATTAAAGAGTTGTTGCCGCCGCGACGTGAGATCTTTTTAACTTGTTATTCGCGCGGGTTATTCCCGCGTAGATTTTGTTTTTTCGTGTGCACGTTGTGAAATTTTGCTCGGTTACCTCGGAATATTTTATTTAAAAGCCGCGTCACGCACGCACGCACATACATACATACACACACACACACAGAGAGAGAGAGTCTCGCGGAACGTGCGTTATCTCCAGCGATATTGCGCACTTGCGCGATATGGCGGTATCGATTTCCTGTCGCGCGTCTCTCGCGCGTTGCGCTCCCGCGTGTGTTATTACCGAACGCGGTGGAAGCGGCAAAAATCGGCCGGCTGAACCGATAACAGCAATTTCGCCGTCAATTTGATTGGCTCTCCGAGTCGTCCGCACGTTGTTTCTCTAATAATCCGGTCTCGTCGTCCAAAATCGAATTACGCCGCGCATCATCATCCTGATGTTTCCCCGTTTTCGTTAAATATTTGATTAACGCGATGCTCGATCTAAGACAGTCCGTTCTCCTTGCGCCCTTACAAAGACGACAAATAAGAAAACGACGGACGCATTTTGTGACATTTGAAAAAACTTGTATATGTTTAAAAAAAAAAAAAAAAAAAGAAATAAAAGATACCATTTTACTCCTTGTCTCTCGCTATGCATCTTCTACACAGTGAGTTGCAGATAAAATATGTCGAAACAATGTTCTTTCGAAACGCGCGTATCGCGCGCGCGTTGCGAAAAACTTGAAATAGTAATCTTCTTACAACTCGCGACTTCTTTCAGCGCGCAATGTCGCGCGCCGCGCCTTTATTACAGTCATCGCGGGAGCTGCGTTTTGCACTTGCGGCAAAGAATCATTCTCGTGAAGGAGGTATTCTTCCTCGGTTTTGTTTTTCTTTCGCACAGTCGTTCGTCTCTCGTCCACGAGGACGGTCCTCGATATCGTCTATTTTCGGGAACCGACCTACGTCACGGCGATATTTTTGCAACGGCCACGCACGTTTATTTTCAAGACTGAAGGGAGGAATGTGTAAACATACACAGAGATTGTGTAGAGACTCGCGAGACTTCGTCACGACGCGAATCTTCTTTTTGTGCATTCGCATTGTCCCAAGTAACTTCAGACCAGAGACACGCAGAGAGTTTAATTTCCGTCTTTATTTACGTCTTGCTTGAATTCGAAGAGAGAAAGAGAGAGAGAGAGAGAGAGAGAGAGAGAAAATACCAAGATAATATTAAATAAAACTTTTTAAACGTATACGCAAGATTTTTCAATATCAAATTACGTAACCGAGTAATATACGTATCGAGATACGCGCTACTCGCTAGCCTTCGACTACCGGTATTTCATAAAAAAAAAAAAAAAAAAAAAAGAAGACACGTGACGGAAATAAACAACGATATCGCGCGACGTGAGAATATCTTTACACTACGTTTGCGTATCGAACGCTTATAATGCGCGCTCGGTACATAATCTCTCAAAATCCGCTTTTTTCCCCAACATTAACGGCACTGGGAGAGACTGAACGGAGGTCGAGATCGTTTCATTCAATTTCCGACGGTGCAAATTGCGCTAAAAATAACGCACAACACTTCGGCATCCTTGGATTCTCAGATGGAAAACATACAGCATATTTATAACCAAGGATACCAAAGAAAACCGAATCAACGAGCGCGCTATGAAGCAAAGACAATTTCGGGAAAAGGTTGTCTGCGAAATAAACAATGACTGATTTCAGAAAGTTACAAGGACTGACTTTTTCTCGTTTATTTGTTTTATAATCGATAATCGATGAAAATTGCCACTTCGGCAATAAAACGTGACATTTGAAGTTTCATTTGGATTAAAGATGGTCTAAATTGCTAATATCTCGCGAGCACGACGCGACGATACGAAGCTTTCGAAACTCATGATATAACCGCGTGGTTTACGATGATGATCGTTAACATTTCTGGGAAACACACGAGTGTGACTAATGGAGCACATCCAATTTGGTGCGCTCGAATATTTGAGCGCACCCGACGCGACGGGGGGAATGTAAGCGAGATAACGAGAGGCAACTTCTGTTTGACACGTTTAATTGTGGCGATATCTTACAACCGCGCGCGCGTAGCGCGAAGGGAAAGTTCAGCGCGTTAACGCACTCGTTAATTTGTCTGCCTACCAACGAGAAACTACTCCGAGAAACGCTCAGATGAGCTGTCGTTTCCAGAAAGAGAGAGAGATCGAGCGTTGCTGTTTTAGACGGTTATCGCGTCGGATAGAAATTTTATCGAGACACTCGGTATTGAGAAAAGCGGTTTTCTCTTTGTCGGTTCTCTCCGCAATATTATTATTATTATTATTGCAAACTTTTTTTCGCGCAATATACATACGTAAAATGGTACGTTATCGTTTTATCTTTTTTTTTTTTTTTTTTTTTTTTTTTTTTTTTTTTTTTTTTTTTTTTTTTTGATGTTGCAGAGACACGCCGACACAAGGATATCGCAAACACATACGCCCTGAAGTTTGCGGATTACACACTTTTAGATCCGGAATTGAAGCTCCACGAAAGCGTTTTCCGAAGCCGTTCGACGTTCTGCGTCGAAATAAAGCCGAAGCAGGGATTTTTGCAGAGAACGGAGTGGGAGAAAATCCCCACGTGTCCGTATTGTCTGAATCAGTTTACCAAGGTACTAGACAACATTAGGGCTTCCGTTAAATTTAAGCAAATATATATATTACGAAAAATAAGATAAAACATTAAAAATGTAATTTCTTTTCAGTTGTTGAAGAAGAACATCGCTGATCTTAGCAATTACTGTCCGTTCGATTTGTTTTCCGGGACGAAGGAGCGCATGAAAAACGCCGTGAGGGAGCTTCTCAAGTCGCCGCAGAACAACTTGAAGATCTTCAAAGACGGCCTCGTCGTCTACGATCAGAACTCGTCGCCAGGCGATCTCGAGGTCGTGCTGGACGATTGGTTTCGAAATGCGATAACGACGAGCACAGGGCGAACGCGCGTTGAAGAGTTCTGCGATTTGGTGTACGCTGCGCTTACGCGACCGTTTGCTCGGGAGCGGCTCAAAGCGTTTCCTGAATTTTGTTCTCGCAATCTTCCCTCATCTGCGAGTCCGACGTTTCGACGCTGCGCCGAGTCAAGCGCGGTCACGAGAGCCAAGTGGTATCTTCGTCTCAAGGGAAAGGTAAAAAATCTCCGTTGATGTCAAGTTCATCAGAAAACAATATTCGATATTATTGTCTCGGAGTTAAAAGTAACTTCAGTCTCTTTTATTTTGCAGAAATGTAACTTCGATGGCGAGAAGTTACCGAAAGATTCGGTGCTGGAACGGATTTGGAACATGCAGCGGTTGTCGTACGTCAGTGTCGGTTACATTTACGACCTCTATTCCAAATTCGCGTTGTTGTTGAACGACGATTTGATATATTCCGACTTGACGAAAGTAGACGAGACTTGCTTTGCTACGGTACGCACACGTTGTTCTTTAATCGATTTTCGCGCGATAACTGTTATCAGAAAACAAACGCTCGCTTTTCTCTGTTTTAGATTCCTCAGAAGATTGAAAACGCCCGTCTCCAGACTCCTCTTGGAGCCGCCAAACACTACAGCGACGACCTCAATGGGAATCCCAACTCTGACTCCAACGGCGTGTTGTCTTCTGACAAAATGAACAGTGATTTCGTATCGCACGCAGAAACTAGTCTCAACCAACATTCATTCAACGAGAGTCACAACGCGAGAGCTTGCGACGACGAGCGAGAGACAAATGTACGGATCAGCGATCAGCAGCTGTCGGCGCTACAAAGTTATCTGTTATTCGCCATGGCCAGGGACTGCTCGATATTAATGACCTTCCGTGAATTGCACCCGTGAGTATTTTCCTAATACAGTAGTGCCTCGCTAACTTTCCGCTTCGGTTGCGCGAGCGGAAAGATGTCGAGGAAGGTACATGTTCCAAGAACTGCCGGCTGTTATCTCTGATTGGTTCGACCGCCGCAGACTCATCTCCACCAATGCACGAAGTCTCGGCGAAGCACTTCTAGGAATTGGTGGGAATGACTTCCGGCGCTGATACCGAGGAAAAAATTCGGCACGTTAGCAAGGAACTACTGTGTAGTTCTCACATGTGTTTCAACACAATGTCACGCGAATCACTGATGTTTGTTTCCGTTGTTTACGTGAGTTTTTTCGTCTTCTTCTTTCAGAGAAAGCTCATCGAGAGCGCCCGCGAAAAACACGCTGACACTCTCGGAGCAACTTTCCTTTGTGTGCAGCGTCAGAATCTCCGACTTGGATCCGAAAAGCGTTCACTCGATCAAGAAGCATCAGCAACGTGACGTAGAAATGTTCGAATCTGTAAATTCTCTTTATTCTGTAAGTTTTTATTTCGATATCACTTCCAGAATAGATAATTGCACGGGAAGTCGCGCAGTATGTAATTAGACACAATATCGAACACGGATCTTCTAATCTCTGTACGCTGAATTATGCGCAAGTTGTTCGACGATCAAACATTGTTTTATAAGACTTTACTGTTCCACGTAACACTTGATAGTGTTTTAAGTTATTTAGTTAGTTCTTCCTTTTTTTTTAAAACAAAAAGCGAAGCCATTCGCGCATTGTTACATAATTTCTGTAAGTTAAATCGTTCATTTCAAATTGTACTTTTGTGTAATTGGTATTGTATTGTGATACTGATTTTTTTAACGAATTGAAATTAAAAAATTGTATTTATAAATAAAGTAAAAATTGTTATAGATAATATTGAAATTAGATAGTAAAATTTTTATAGATAATTATTGTTATAGATAATATTGTAAAACGATGCTATTTTTCGATAGAAACCATTTTGTCGCTTAAGGATCTCGCGCATATCACAAGACTGACTTACATAAATATGTACATGTAGTTAGCAATTATTGTTTTTTATTGTCACGGAGAGCTTTGTTAACGCGTTTGTTTGTAAAGTAAAGATTACTGTAAAGAAAAACACTGTAACAAGTAAATAAAAACAGCAGACAGTACGAATTTTGTTGTTCATTTACTACGTTGGAAGATTGCAAACAGTTGAAATCCTAATTTCCTGTTTCCTAAATCTCTCTGTGCAATCGGGACCTTCCCCCCACAGTCTAAGAAAAAAGAAAGAAAAGGCCACGAAGAGACAAAGCGATTAGTTGCACGAAGAGTGCAATTATGTTAAAAAAAAAAAAACTTTGTAGCAAACATTTCTCTTCGTGTTTTTTCCTCCTTTTTCTTGTAGTGTGTAAAAAATCTCATTCAAGGATAACTTTGATTAATTCATTAGTAAAGCAAGCGTTTCGACCTTGCCCTTTTCAACGTCTCTGATGATAAAAATGTAAAAATAAAATACTTGACTATATTTTATTCTGCCGCAATTTTGGCATGGCTCAGCCAAACGTGATCAAACGGTAAAAAAAAAAAAGACAAAAAAACATGCACACGTTGCAGCTGCAACAATCGGATCGAATTTTCGTACGTACGAGACCCACCATTGTTTCGAGTACGTATGCACAAGGCCGCATAGCACAGTTATGAATGATGCACTCGCTGGAGTAGGGGCGAGCGTGCATTGACCGAATCAGGGCTGTACAAGATCGAATTAACACCCTCTGCGAACTCTCTCAACATGTATGTCAGTTGGATACGCACAAGTAACGTACGGTAAGAGATAATACGTACCTGTTTTATATTCTTTCATTCCAATTAAGAAAAATATTTCGAGACAAACATTTGGTTCAGAGTTACATGTCGTACATTTTTTTTTTTTTTCCGGATGACGGTGTCGCTCTCGAGCAAAGTACGTCGTAAAGCAACGTCGAGAATCGGTTCTTTTCCGCGAAAAGACGAAGAAGCATTCTCTCAGCCGCTGTCCAACGCTGTTGTCGATCGACCGGTCAGAGCGAAAAGAACAGCCGGCGCGCAGAAGGGGAAAGTCTTTCCCCTTTCGCGGAACCGACTCATTGCTCTGCAGTGTACCACATGTGCATGAGACCAGATGATTGGCGCGCCCCGATGAGGCGCGTTCTCAAACGCGTCCTGTTGTTCCCGCTGCTTCATCGCTGTAAGTGCCCCTCCCATCGGGCGGACGAATCATGGATTTGGGGTGGTGGTCGGGTCGGTGGGTCAGTCCAAGTCAGTCGACGTTCACAAGTGACGACGTAAGGTTGATACCAGGCGACACTGGGCGTTTCGTGGTATGTGGTAACGGCCTGTCAGTGAACCTCGGTCGAAGATGGGGACACAGAAACCCGGAGAATGGGCGAGTTTGGTGCTCACCCGTTTCGAGGATCAGGTGCGCAATTAGAACAGATTGCACCACAAACGAACGTTTTTTTCAATCCTTCTCTTTGCTTTCCGAATTCTATGCCAAGCTTTTCCTTTTTTTTAGTTTCTCGTCGTTCTTTTCTTCTTCGTTCGAGCATCGTCTTCCAGTTGCGCGCGGAGTCTTCTCCCCCGGCTGTCACGACGATACACGTCGTACGCACGATCTCTCTTTGTGTCACGTACTTGCCGCGGTTTCGATATGGTCCCGTCAAATTCTCCCAACAGATTCGCGGATCTCTCGTTCTCCAAGTATCGAAAACTCGTCTGTCCGTTTTCTCGACGATCGCGCAAGGGGGTAGGTCTCGCGCGATTTATTGTCCCAAGTGTAACAGCTTTTTATTAAAAACTGACGAGAACGGATATGCGACTAACAGCCGGTTTTGTCGGGCTGGTCACCTCTGATCTGTAATATGTGTCAAACTTCACACGAGTGTTTATAGATAGACCGTCTCTTTATTCGCTTGAGAAAAGACGTTTCGAGTAAATTTACACTGAAAATTTATCAGAGATTTACTTGCGTTTTCTCAATTACTCCGAAATCGCTAACTTCGAGCCGCTGATGACACGTCGCGGAAGATCGAGAAATTCCCGTGGAATCTTCCGACGTTACATTAACGTCAATTGATATACAATTAAGACATCGGTTGAAGTCGTACATAGTCTTTTTCTTCTTATCCCGCTCGCGTTGTCGATATTCCGACTCTAACGTTGCCAACGCACGGATGAAAGAATCGACCCGTACGTCTCCGAGTTCCAATTAAATGTGCACGCGCGTACGCGCGTTTCTTTCTTTCTTTTTCTTTTTTCTTTTTTTTTTTTTCATTTTTCTCCAAAAGTCTCGAACACCAACGTGTCGATGACGTGGGAGATCGCCGATTGATACGTTGTCGTTCCTGCCCTCTCCGACTCGTTCATTCACGAAAAGATGCATTCTTGCAAAGATGGCCCCTGCTCTCTCCCAGCCCCTCTCTCCCCATGCGATTTGACCTTCACCCCCTCTGCTGCTATCCTAGTCAACCATTCCGTGAGAGCAACTCAATCAAAGGTGTACATATGTACACAGTAACGTATGTACAATACAGCATTAGGGGTGTAAAATGTCGATACTTAATTTTCTCTGTTGGAAAATTACGAAGATTCTGTTTCTCGACGCTCCCGAGTAGGCGCTTCCGGTTCCGCTGAATATTCGAATTGTGCGTCAGAAGTGCGAAGCTGTTGTTGTTTTGTTTCGCTTCTAGGTAAAATAGAATTGTTTTTGGACCTCATTAATGTGGTATTGAAATTCAATTAATAAATTTATAGACTCCTGTAAAATCTTTGAAAACAGAGTTCGCTTTTGTGTTCATCGAATATATTCTCCGGAAAAAATATGTGAAACTTACTTACGCGAATTTATTATCTCGCGAAAAATCGCGTGGATTTATTTCCTTTTGTTTCCGTCGTATCTTCTCTTTTTCACGCTCTCTTCCCGCGCCGCCACCTCGCTCGCCATATTCATGAATGAAAGCTGCACGTTCTCTTTACGCGCGGCTTCCCCTGCCCGTGTGTGCAGTCGCATACAAAGGGAAATATAACCGAAATCGATCGCGCCGCGCGCACTGATGTATTTCCTCAATGTCGCGGCAATTTGTCGCCGCTATTATTTCGCAAGCACGCTAATTTTTTGCACCTCCCCTTTCCTTCCTCTTTTGTCCGCGTTCTCTTCGGAAAGGGTTTGTCTTTAATTTGAAAGAGCGCCCGTCGTCGTTCCTCGCTTGATTTACAGCAACCTGTTTTGATTCTCGGCAATATTGTTGCGCAGCTGCCATGTCGTTCCGGTCCCGACAGCCCGCAGTCTCGTATGAACGAGAAGAGGAGCGAGAAATGCCTGATCGAGATCTCCCGTTACCGATTCTCTCTCGTGATATCGGGCCTCACAAAGATGCTGCAGCGCGTCAACGAGGCGACGCCGAACTCGAGCGGTCAGCGACCGTTTCTCCACGCCATGGATCAGGACCGGCAAGAGTCCATCATCATCGTGCTGGACACGCTGGAGAAGTGCTTGGCGAACACGCCGAAAGACACGACCAAGTTCGAGGAGGCAATGAACGTGAAGTTACTGCTTCGGGAAATATGCCAGTTCATATGTAGGTTTTGTATAGATGTGTTTTTTTAAAGTTCAAATTGTCTTACAAATAGGTGTAAATTTTTTTCCAGGCATACCTTACGACAGTAGTTTGCAGACCAAGATGATAAAGGATCTGGCGAGCAAGGTGCTGTTTGCTCTGAGTGTAAACTTCTTCAACGCGGTCTTCAATCGGATCTCGGCCAGGCTTCAGGAGTTGTCCAGCAGCGGTGAAGAGAATCCAGATTGCAGCGACATCGAGCTAATGCAGCACATTAACGTCGATGTCCAGAAACTGACCAGGCTCTTGAACGGTAAGGAGATGAATATTAACAGGAGCGCTCTATGTATATTGTTTTCATTCGTATTCGTTATCGCTGCAGAAACGATACAGAAGGTTCGACAGTTGAAAAAGATAGCGTACCTCGTTCTCATGAATTCCTTGGAGAAGGCGATCTGGAATTGGATGGACACTCATCCGCAGGAGTTTGCCGATCTGCAGAAGCAACCGAACGAGGACGTCAGCAAAGCCTGCGAGGAGCTGTTCGACATTCTCGACACTTTCGTCGACAAGAAGAGTCGAGCCGCAACTGTATGGCCGTTGCAGATGATGCTCCTTGTACTCTCGCCCAGGGTGCTGAACGAGATTGTGAAGGCCGAATCCGGACCGCCCGGATCGCCGCGCTACTCGAAAAAGAAGCAATTCATCGATAGCGTGAAGCGCAACATGAAGATGCACGGTAGCTCATCCAGCCGGCAGCTGACCGAGGCGGCTGTAATCACATGTAGCAAACTTACGAAGGCAGCCACGTACGTCAACACCGCGGACTTCAACAGCAGCGTTGTTCTTACATTGGCGCAACAAGTGACCGACGATCTTATGATGCTGCTCTTCAATCCTTCGAAATCAAGGGGTCAAAATTACATCGCACAAGACGTCGACTTGATGATAGACTCCTTGGTTAGCTGTTACCGTATCAATCCGAGCAACAACGAGGTGTTCCGATTCTGTCTGAACGGCAATTACTTGTATCAATTTGTCGTAGTCAGCTCGCTGTACAAGTAAGTGCGAGAAAATACTGTGATACCGTTCTAAAAGATTACCTTGAGAGTTTCGCTGATCGATTGGTTCAACGTCACATTTCAGGATCTTCACTCAGCCGAGACTGCCGTGGTGGCCGGAGATCAATTTAATGTATTCGTACGGCACGGAACTGAGACACATGTTCACCGACACTCTGAACAAAGTGATGCAAAATTACACGGGAAACACGCAAACGTTACGTATGATTCACACTTTTACGTTCAAGTCCAAGGAAGAAATGACCAACTCCAGAAATCTGTTACTGATGATGGTGCGACTGATCCACGTAGACCCAATGTTGATGTTGCATGTAAGTTTACGGATACGTATAGGATAATACCCGAAACCTACACTAATTAAGCGTTTTATAGAATGACGGCACTGCCAGTCACGAAAAGTCCAGTTTAGAACTAATCAGTGGACTCGTCTCGTTAGTCCATCATTCTACCATGTCGGACATCGCCTACGAAGCGATGGAGGCTTTGCTGGTTCTGCATCAGCCAGAAAAGATCAAAGCGTGGAATATGGAAGCGCCCCTGATTACGTTCTGGGACATTAATTCGCAAGTTATTCTCTCGATCTCATTAAAATTGATTCAACGTGGTGCCAATTACACAAGCATATTTAAGTGGTTTCGCGAGATACTGATCTGTAGAAATGCCTTTCTCTCTCAGTACAAAGATAACGCGAATGTAGGCAGCCAAATCGCGATCAGCAAGGAGGCACACATTAAACTAGAGGTAGGTGGTACATACTGCGTGTTGCAAAATTGTACACAACTTTGTTAAAATTAATTTGCGAAACTCATTATGCAGATCGTTTGCCTAATGTATTTGTGGAGCACGGATCTTGAGGCTGTTTTAATATCAATGTCTTGCTTCGCGTTGTTATGCGAGGAAGCCGAAATTCTCTGCGGAAGCGACGAAGTGGCAGCTGTGACCTGCCTGCTTCCAAATTATCAAGTGTATTTGGAACTGGCGCAAGCATCGACAGCGTTAATCTCTGGTGATTGTTTATTATTGTTTCATGACTTACTCTTCATGTCAATCAAATCAAATTTATGAGAACATTGAATAAGACAGAAAAAAAGTTCTCTTGTAAATTCAAAGATTTATTTACAAAAATACTCAGTTTTCCTCGCTTTAATGAAACTCTTATTCGTCTGTAATAGAGTATTAAAGAACTTGTTGTCCTAATAGCCTACGGGGAGAGTAGATTGCATTATCAGGAACATAGCGACGGTGAGTCATTAACTTTTATATCGCGTGCATATGGACAGGTAGTTCTTCAAGAAAGTGAGTATTACGTAATGACTCGATTTTTATATTTTAGGACGCGCTTCGATGCAGAAGAAAATATTGTTTCTATTAAGAAAAATAGAACATTGCGTGAACGGCGTTCAGCCGGTACGTATTTTTATGTTATACAAAATGTAATACGAATTAAAATCACAAAAAATATTTTTTTGTTTCGTACTCAGGCATGGGAAGAAACATTTAAAAGTTGGGAACTGATCTCTCGACAATTGTCCTTAAATTATCCTAAAACCAAGACTGAAGACGCGCAAGCGGAATCGTTTTGTCGTACGGTCAGTAACGTGAAGCGAAAAGCGGCTCACCAGAATTCGGAGCACGATGTGGAAGAGCAAATTAACGAGTGGGCCAATATGACGGGATTTCTTTGCGCTCTAGGCGGAGTGTGCTTTTCGCGTCATTCACCGAGCAAGATCGATCCCGGCCCGACGTCCGTCTCGACAAATTGTAATCAAGAAGCGCACAATTGCCAAGTGACACAGTTCGTCTCCACTCTATTGCGACTGTTAAATTGCAACAATGAAAAATTCGGCAGCCAAATACAGAAATACGTGAAAGAGACGGTCGGACATGAAATGAGTCCCGCGCTGTATCCGATATTGTTTGACCAGATCAGAAATATAATCGAAAAGTTCTTCGATTCTCGTGGACAAGTGATAATATCGGACCTGAACACCCAATTTATAGAACACACTATATTCATAATGCACAATATTCTGGATCCAAAAACGGATCAACCGTCGGAGTATCTTGGGAAGACCAGCATAGAAGCCATGATGTTGGCGATTGTTAGATACGTCAGACACCTAGACATGATGGTGCATTCGATATGTATTAAGACGAGATTGTGCCAACTGGTCGAGACTATGATGAGAAGACGTGATGACTTGGCGTTCAGACAAGAACTGAAATTTCGCAACAAACTAGTGGAATATCTGACCGATTGGGTGATGTGGGAGCCGCTTTTGTCGTCAACAAGTGATATTACTTATACCAGGTAAAACTATTATTTCACACATTTGAGAGTCTCTTTGTTTATTTTAAACAAAGAAAGAGAAGAGTTATTGTATCAAATTCGAAAATGTAGTATCCAATTTCGATATTTTGTTTTGCAGAGATTTGGATCAAGCTTGCATGGAAGCAGTAGGAGCATTGTTGCGTGGGCTTCCTCTTCAGCCCGAAGACTCCGATTGCCCTGACATGATGGAGGCAAAGTCTGAATTGTTCTCCAAGTATTTCATGCTTTTCATGAATTTATTGAATTATTGCAAGGAACCGACGCTGACGAAGAACGAGGATGTTATACCCGGACAATCGCCCACTTTAGCGACCAGCAAGTTAGCCACTTTGCGCGACACCACCATTCAAGCCATGAGTAATCTTCTCAGTGCTAACATAGATAGCGGTTTGAGGCACTCGATACGTAAGTAAAGATATCAAATTTGTGTTTGTACGATTAACACACCGAAGCTTTCCGGAGAAACATCTTTATCTCAATTTGCTTTATTTATCTTTTAATAATCTGTCCAGTTGTTGACACACGTGACTAAACAGTATTATCTTTTTTATTAAATTTTTCTCTTTGTATTTAGACTTAGGCTACAAGGCAGATCTCAAAACGCGAGCCGCGTTTATGGAAGTGCTGACTAAAACCCTTAAGCAAGGGACAGAGTTTGACACTCTCGCTGAGACCGCCCTTGCTGACAGATACGAACAATTGGTCGATCTCATCACGATAATGACCGAGAAAGGCGATTTGCCTATTGCTATGGCACTAGCTAATGTAGTGACGAACGAAATGGACGAGCTGGCGCGTGTCTTCGTGACGATATTCGATGCGAAGAACTTACTGACACCTCTGTTGTGGAATTTTCTCTACCGCGAGGTCGAAGTGACCGATTGCATACAAACGGTTCTTCGTGGCAATACTCTGGGAAGTAAAATCATGTCTTGCTGCTTCAAAATGTTTGGCGCCAACTATTTGCAGGGTTTACTTGAGCCGTTCATTGAACCTTTGCTAGACGAGCCGTCTGTCAGTTTTGAGGTGGACAGCGCGAGGATCGAATCCGATGAAAGTATCGAACAGAATAGCGAAAACCTAATCAAACTGACGCAAAAAGTATTTGACGCCATAATATCGTCGGCAGATGTGTGAGTCGTCGTTTTCTATAATTGTAAATAAAATAAATAAATAAATAATAACGTTCCAAATATATTCTTACTTTAGGTTTCCCTCAAAATTACGTTTGATCTGTCACTGCTTGTATCAAATATTGTGCAAGAGATTCCCGCAATACTCGGGACAAATCAACTTGGTAGCTGTGGAAACGGTGATATTTTTGCGTTTCATCAATCCCGCCGTTGTCTCACCTCAAGAAATGGGAATCGTGAACAAACCAGTGCCGCAACACGTCAAACGAGGTCTCATGCTAATGTCGAAAATATTGCAGAACATCGCCAATCACGTGGAATTTAGCAAAGAGCAACACATGTTACCGTTCAACGACTTTCTGACTGCTCGTTTCGAGATTGGTCGGAAATTCTTCGAAAAAATATCGTTGACATGCGATAAAATTGAGCACAATCAGTATCCCAAGTCGTTTGTTTCGGACGCCAATGTTCTGACCTTGCACAGGCTCTTGTGGAATCATCAAGAGAAAATGAGAGATTATCTCACCAGCAGCAGAGACCACAAAGCTCTCGGAAGAACGCCTGTCGACAGATTGGCTACGTTATTGGCGTATCTTGGTCCACCCGAACATAAGCCACTATATTCCCAGTAAGTCATCGAGCAATTGCATTTTTGTTTCAATTATTCCGTCATGGTTCTATTCGCGTAACTATAATATAAGTAATTTGTATTTTAAGTAAATTTTTCATTTTTCAGCTCGGTCTTTCCGTCTTCTTACGTTCGTATGACACGATGGGCAAACAAAGACATATCGTCAAGTAATTTCGAGGATATCATGATGCAACTCAACGTGCAGGAGAGAGAAGATTTCAAAAACATTCAGAGCATGAATATTTTTTATCAAGCAGGCACCAGCAAGCGAGGCTATCCGGTATTTTACTACATCGGGCGCAGATTCAAGTACGCACGAGTCATTTTACTTGAATGACATATTCATATGTTCATTATTTTACACGAAATTAAAATGAAAATTTTGCGATTTTCAGATACGGCGAGACGAACAGCGATCTGCTGATATATCACGTGATTCTAACTCTAAAGCCGTTCTGTCGCAGTCCGTACGACGTGGTCATCGATTGCACTCACATGTGCGCAGACAATCGTTTTAGAACGGAATTCTTGCAAAAATGGTTTTACATGCTGCCCGAAACGTATTACGAAAACGTTCACGCGATTTACATATACAACTGCAACAACTGGGTGCGTGAGCACATAAAGTTTCACAATGAGATTTTGGCGCCGTTGAAGGGAAATCGAAAAATAGTCTTTCTCGACAGCCAAGAGAAGTTAAACGATGTGATCGACATCGAACAACAGAAATTACCGGGTGCGACGTTGTCGTTAGACGAAGACTTGAATCATGTCTTTACTGGTGTTCTGAAACAATACAATAACAAAGATCTCAAAGTGACCATAAAAATCGGACCGACTAGTCTGCAAGTAACTTATGTAGACAAATCCAAAGTGCTGTCGCAGTATGTTCTGTTAAACGACGTGTATTACGCGTCCGAGATACAGGACGTGACCGTGGTGGACGAAAGCCAGTTCACGGTAATTGTTTCCATCGAAGTCGGACCTTTACATTTTGCTCACAGCGACTGCGCGGAGACCATCGCTCAGGCGATATGTTACATCAAGAAACGCTGGGTGCTCTCGCAGTCAGAAACCGTGCCCACTCATGCGAAGATCAGGCCTAAGGACGTACCCGGCACTTTGCTGAATATGGCTCTGCTAAACCTGGGCAGTCCGGATCCAAATCTTCGACTTGTCGCGTACAATCTGTTGTGCGCGCTCACGACAACGTTCGATTTGAAGATACAGGGCCAACTGGTGGAGACATCCTGCATCTGCATACCGAAGAACAACACGATGTTTATTGTTCATCTAAGTGAGACACTGGCGGCGAACGATCCGCATCTCACGCTCGAGTTTCTTCGAGAGTGCATGCAGGGTTTCAAGGAGTCGACTTTTGAGCTGAAGCACCTGTGCTTGCAGTACATGACACCATGGCTGAGCAATCTCGTGCGATTTTACAAATCCCAAGACGAGGAACTGGGTGGCAAGAAGCAGAAGCAAATCATAGAAATACTGAACGATCTAATCACGCTGACCATCCAGGAAATCGATATGTATCCAAGCATGCAGGCCAAGATCTGGAACACAATCGGCAGACTGCCGGAACTGATTGACGACGTGCTCGATATATTTCTTCAACGCAGCACGCAGTACGGCCTGGGCTCGCCGATGGCCGAGATAATGGCGGACACCGCGGTCGCGGTCGCCCAGGCGTCCGCCAACGTGCAGCTGGTAACCACAAAACTGATCAACAAAGTATGCCGGATGCTCGACAAAACCTGTATGTCGCCGACGTCGCAACTCGAACAACACGTAATGTGGAGCGATATCGCGATCCTGGCGAGATATCTCTTGATGCTCTCATTTAACAACTGTCTCGACGTGGGGAAGCATCTGCCGTACATATTTCACGCGGTCACGCTACTCGTTTGCAGCGGCAGCTCGACCATGCGCGCGTCCATTCACGGTCTCATGACCAACAGCATACATTCCTTGTGCACGTGCAGTTCACCCAAGTTCTCCGAAAACACGCATCGAATATTGCGGATGAGCCTGGACGAATTCTCACTGCCGAAATCGTATCTGTTGTTCGGCATCGACAACGTGAAATCCGCTACAGCTTTTTACAATCACTCTTACTCCGCCTGCGAGAACTCCGTCAACGACAAATGGCTGGACAACAATGAGCGGGACGGGACGCAGGACAAAGAAAATCTCAACCTGTCTAATTTGGAAATCATAACCGACGCTCTTCTGGAGATAATGGAGGCTTGCATGCAGGACATTCCGAAGTGCGACTGGTTGAACATCTGGACTCTGCTGGCAAAGAACTTGGCTTTCTCGTTCAATCCGGCTCTGCAGCCGAGAGCGCTCATTGTTTTCGGATGCATTAGCAAGAGCATAACAGATCAAGACATAAGACAGCTGCTGAAGATATTGGTGAAGGCGCTCGAGAGTTTCAATGACATTTATCTCATTGAGGCTATAGTCATGTGCTTGACACGACTGCAGCCGCTTCTTAGATCCGTAAGTGTTTCATTTGTAAAAGACATTTTCAAGTCCTTCAAGTATCTGCTAATTTGCTTGTGATTTTGTCAAAGAACTCGCCAATACACAAATTCTTGTTTTGGATCGCCACGTCCGTCCTTGAGCTGGACGACATGACATTGTACGCATCCGGTCTGGCCCTTCTCGAGCAAAACTTGCACACGCTTGATTCGCTAAATACTTTCAACAACGAGGTGACATTATTAATTCTCATCAAGAGTCCGATCGATTTTCTCATTATTTTTCAATACATGTGTGAAATAATATCGCCGCTACTTTTTTAGTCATTGAAGGACGTGATGTTGTCAACGCGCAAGCCTCTGGAGTATCACTTCAAACAGCTGGATCACACTGTGGGCTTGTCCTTTGAAAAAGAATTCCACTTTGCGCTGGTCGGTCATCTTCTGAAAGGTTACAGGCACGAGTCGCCGACCACGGTCACCAGAACGATCAGAGTTCTGACTATGTTGCTGGGAATTATTGCCAAGAAATCAAAACGGGATAAATTCGAAGTGACGCCAGAAAACATTCCTTATTTAATCGGTACGATATTTTGAAAAACACTTAGTAAGCGTGTTAATAAATTTTACACGAATGTTGTTTTGTTGTAGCCTTGGTGGCTGTGTCCGAAGAAGTCCGTAGTAGGTGTCACATTCGGCATTCGATCAATAAAAGTCTGCACGATTCAGTAAGTGGTACGGATATTTTGGACACGTTAACTTCGCGCAATACGGTATGTTTCTTTCTCTTTTCTAAATGTTTTTCTACAAGTATGTATCGTAGCGGTGACTTATTTGTTACGCTGTTTCGTATTTTTATCAATCACTATTTGTCCACTAGGATATATCGGGGGTATCCACCAATCCTAGAAGACAGAAAACTTGGGACTTGCTGGACCAATCCGCTATCACCAAGGCGAAGCAACAGAAACAACAACCCGCGCAGGTATTGAACAAGAGTTTGAGCGAGCATCTCACGTTTTTGTATCTGCAACACAACTTGTTTCCGTCACACTTCTCGATCGAATCTTCTTTGTGACTAAGCAGATCTTCTATCGGCACCTTAATATCTTAACGTCGTTTTAACCCCATCATTTCTGTATTTCCCGTTTACTCTTTCTTTTATTCTCTTCTCTTTCTCTCTCTCTTTCTCATGCCTATGTCCACCCGCCCGGATTGCGCAAATTATTATGAAACTTGTATGTTACTACCAAGACTGGACGGCTTTTATTTAAATCGCAGCGATCCTTGAGCGTGCCAAGTGCAAAGGAAGACAAGACGGCGGACGACTCTCAGCAACAGGTACTCATTGTCGAGTTATACGACAATTAATTCTTGTGCTTTTTCGTGAATATGTATTTCATACTGTTTCTATTGAGAAACGTTGCAAATATTTCTCGCAATAATTTACTCAATTGTAATTTCTGAAGTAACAGAATTAACGTATATTCGCATCCTTTTGTGTTCCGTAGCAGAAAGATCGTAACGCTAGAGTGAGCGTGAGCAACGAGACCAACGTCTTGCTCGATCCGCTTGTGCTGACCGAGGACTCGACACAGACGTTGGTTATTACCATGCTTGCCACTTTAGTCAAGTACTCCACGAACGAGAACGAGACCCGGATTCTGTATGAGTACTTGGCAGAGGCGACTGTAGTTTTCCCGAAAATTTTCCCAGTTGTGTAAGTTGTGCCTTTTCTTTTTTGCAATTGTGTAAATGCAAACTACTTGTATTGGCTTAAATTTTTGCGAACCGCTGTTTGCCCTCTCTCCCCTCGTAGACACAACTTGCTTGACGCGAAGATCACCAGCGTGTTATCTTCCTGTCACGATCAAGCGATATTAAACGCGGTGCAAACTATTATACAAAACATGATATCCTGCGAAGACGCGAGTCAAAACTTGCGCGAGCTCAACTTTCAACATCGCTTGCAAACAAGCGGTTTTCGCGGTCTTTGGAGGTTTGCGGGATATTACACGAATGTAAGTTTACACGAAAAACAATTGTTTCAGATTTAGTTAAGTCGCTTGTCGATTAACTGATCGATCACTTGACGATATAATCGACACTTTTCAATGTGTATCTTTTTTACGCGCGACATTACACAATGTTACAGTCCAACTGTACGCCCGAGAGTTCCGAGTTCTTCGCGCGTTGCCTGGAAGCGATGATCGAATTGTCTCTGAAGATGCAGGAGACAGCTGTCGAGGATGAGAAACGCGGACAATCGACCAACTCCGGGCTAAAAACGAAGCCACCTACAGTCGGAATTGCTAAAGAATATTCTCGGACGTCGTCGGAAATCGATTCTTCCTCCGTTCACAGCGAGTAAGTTCTCGCGCGCGCCATTTTTCACTCGATCTCTTCCACGAAAGCAATGTGAGTCGAATATTTCTTTGTTGTAGCAGCACGCGCAGTAGACGGATCGACTCGGTCGAGCGAGGTGAAACTCGGTCCGCGAACCAGACGGAAGATAAGGGCGGAGGTACACAAATATAGCAATCAATGCACAGCACTGGCAAACAGTGCGACAAAAGCAAAACCAAACGGCAAAACAGCCGGAAGTTGAAGCGGCAAATGAGGTGCGCGTATGCTTCAAACAATGTCAAGTTGTAGATGTAGTTGACAGACTTATTAGGTATTGATCTAACAAGACAAAAAGAGAAATTGTTTTACAAACAGCTGTGTTATATAAAAACGAAGACAAGTTCACGTCTCGACTAACGTTTTACTCTTCTCTCTTACCGCAGAGCATCATCACCCGTTCCGTGTTGCATCTGCAAACTAGCCAATCAAATCAGTACAGTGCCATCTCCTTCACAATAATGAGCCTACAGAAATGAACATCATCAACGAACGTAACCCAACAACTACACTTCTGTTTCCAGTCAAGAATACGTTTGTTAGTGTGTGATCGCGACTTCGTCGATTATTTTTCACAAATTCTTTGGTGGTCTGTGAGCGCCGAAGTTCGAGCATTCGCGAATTTGCTGTTGAATCGAAATTTCGCAAGGCAATCCGGACCAGTAGTGCCTCTCGTCTCAAAGCGTCTCTTACACAACAGAGATCTCTGCTTCAAGACGAATTGATATCCAGAAAAAAAAAAACAAAAAACAGCGCGTAAATGATACGAAATACAAGCGAACACCAACTTAGCTGTTTATTATTGTCTATCATTTATTATAGTACAAAGCAAGACCAAGCTGTTATCTTCTCAAAAAACAAAAACAAAAAAAAAACATACGCACGAGACAAATTAGTAATATACAAAAGAAAAGGAAATGAGGAACGACGCGTTAATAAACATAAACTGTGATAAATAAATCGTGATGGGTAAAACGAATAATGAATATATATACTATAAATCGTATATTATAAAATTATACCCAAGATACTATTTTGACGTCTATATCGTAAAAAAAAAAAAGAAAAATAAATAAATAATCGCGCCACTTTTTATTTAGATTCTATTTATTTATATATATTTAGAGACAAAAACAAAAAAAAAGGTTTTTTGACGCCGTAGGAAGTGTAACATATGTTATTGATATGCGCAGCGATCGAAGTGTGAATTTAGGATAATTAAACGTGAAGGTGATGTGTTTCATCCGGCTATATATATATATATATATATTACAGACAGTGTAAATAGCGATGTCTCCACAGGTCTCTAAGCGAATCAACTAAAAGTCTGAGATAACCGCACATAAATGTACATAGTATGTACGTTGTAGTCGACAGAACGAGAGAACGAGTTGATTTTTTATATAAAACGTAGCGGACGATCTATTTCTAAGCTTGTACGTGTATTTAGACGATGAATTTACGTTTAAGACGCGGACGTGAAGATTCGATCTTTTCTCACATTTATGTGAAAATTACTCTATTTTCTTACGCTAAGAAAGCTCGAAATAATTTTTCATACCATTTCTCATTTTGTTGTTTATTTTCTTCATTGCGGTACGCACATGCACACTCTTTCGCGATTGATTTCTCGTCGTAAATCCCCACCGTGGCAGCGGCCATACAATGTGATAATTTTTATATATCGATAGTTTACACAGTATGTGTTGATGTATGTGTTCACAAGTTGCTAATTGCGCACTTTGACATTAACGAGCGCATTTGTAACTCTCTATCGTGTATCTCTTTTTTCTCTTACCAAAGAATTGAAAAAAAAAAAAAAAATAAGTTGCAATCTCTATGCGCGCGCGCGCAAATGTGTCACTACTTCGGCGTATTTTTTTTTCTCGCAATATTCGTGTTCCTAGAGTACGTATCATCATCGGAACTACGACAGAAACAACGGAGCTATCGGACAAAAACAAAAACAAAAAAAAAAATATCGAGTTCTAGCGTGTGTGTAACAAACAACGAGATGCATCTCATCGGACTACACTTGTGTCTGTACATATGTGTAAGATGTAGACAACAAATGCATATATATAAAATTGTAAAAAACCAAAATGTACATACATTATATGTAAGTAAACACAAAAGATGTATATTCTCGCGTGACACTCGTGTACACGAGGTAGTTTAAACGTGCGATAGTTCTGTAAATGTTAGTTTTCTGCAAAATAACGGAGAAACCCTCTCTCTCTTCTTTAAAAAAAAAAAAAAAAAAAAAAAAAAAAAAGCGAGCCGCCGATAACATCGTGGCAATATTCGAACAGAAAATATCTTTTGGAACATTTTAAACATATTTTTTTTTTTTTGGACGAATAATATTAATTTGTTTTTTAATTGATGCTCGTGTACAAGATCGAAACATGTGCTGAGAAATGATCTTTGTTCAATTGATTGGTCGTATTGGTGGCTCCCTCGAGATTTCTTTGTCGTCGATAATTTTTGTAATCTCCGAAAAGAGACTTTTCTACGTTATTTATCGAGCCCTCGACCGAGCCAAGTCTGTCGAGAACAGAATACAAGATTTTGCTCGCAACAAATTTCGTCGAAACAAATTGTGGACACGCGATTTCCAAGACTATCAATTGTCGGGATTGTTTGGACGATTGTGCGATACACAAAATTTCAGAAATCACATACCTGTTTGCCTCACAGACGACCTCGGCTCTGTTGTACTCTGCTCTGAAGTTTGTAGCCAATCTGTCCGCTAATTTGTTAGCGCTCTCTTACACCGGGTATTTTTCTGTGTACGTACTGTACGATGTTTCCTGTAAATATCGGTTCCGATGTTCTCATTTCGCTTTTATCAAAGAAAAATTAAGCGCGCAAGTGAACGCGTTTTAGTCGTGTGTCGTATGATAAATAGATTTTTGAAAATAAATATTGAGTTGTTCAGAAAGTTCGTAGCGGTCACCCGAAGATTACAAAATAACGCCATTAAAAAAAACAACGCACGAGATCGTAAAAGAATTTAAACGAAATATTTAAATCTTATTAAAAAAAAAAAAAAAAAACGCTACGTACTTTCCGAAAACCCAATGTCTAACGATAAAAGTGAGATAAGAATGCGAGCCACTGTGTACCTGTACGCATACATATTTGTGTGTGTACGTGTGTATGAGTGTATATAATCACGAAATTAAAACATTGTTAAATTGTTATAAATGTTAATATTTCATTTGTGTTTTCTCTTTGTGAATTGTTTTTTTCACCGCTTTGTTTTCCGGCAAAAGTTTGAATTTCACATCCGAGGCAAAAGTTTCTCCACTTACGTGAAATTGCGTCAGCCAATCCGACGTGCAAAGTTCGACCCCTTTCAATGGCAAAACGTGACGTTAAGTTGCCAATGCGCACCACCCATAGACATTGCGCTGGCTTACAAGGCAGGAAAAGCGATTATATATTTTCTTACGGGACTGACCGCTCTCAGTTTTCTCTCCGAAACAACTGAACGTCCCTCCTGGTCCCTCCCACACGACTGCTGCGTTTGTCTGCGCATGTGCGAGTTCGAAAACTCGTCTAAAGTTGCGGCGTACAGCAGAACAAGATGCTTCGTGACAATCGAATGTGATTGGTTTTTACTTTTAAGCCTATGTCACACTACGGATTTGGATTGAAATTGGATTGCAATTTGGTCAATCAGAGCGAAGATCAGTAAACTTAGGATTGGTTTTCTTTCTTCTGATTGGTCAAATTTCAATCCAATCTCAATCCCAATCCGTAGTGTGACATAGGCTTTAGTACCAACCAATCATCGTCGAGTGCCATACAAAACGACAACTCGGCAATGTTCTGCCGAACACGGCCATTTCCGCGATTTCGCGCCAAAACCGTCGACGCAACAAAACGAAGGTGTTGAGCTTGCGGTTTGATTTAAGCAGAACGTTTATTTGTTGAGATTTATAGAACTTGAATTGAGCAGTTTGCGTGAAAAAATGTCAGGCAGAGAAGCTACGCGTGGGAAAATGCACGTCATCAAGCGCAGTAAGTTTTGTGACCGTTTCACCGCGAAGCCGAGAACGGTTTGCCGCTTACATCTTGCCGATCTTGACACATTTATGCTCATTCGATCTCTTTTTGTTCAAAACAAATGAATCTGACAGAAAATACTTTGCTATCCGGTGAAGCAAGTAATTTAATGTTAAAAATAACGAAGGTTAGGTAAACTTATCCTATCAAATCAACAAAATGCGATCTAAATGTAAGATAAAATTCTATGAGATTAAATTGTAAACTTTTACCACATAGAATGGATTGACTTGGTTTATAAGCGAAAAAATAAGTTTGTCTTATTTTTTAGATGGGCGCAAAGAAGATGTTCATTTTGATAAAATTACTTCAAGAATTGCCAAACAGTGTTACAATTTAGATATGAATTATGTGGATCCAGTAAGTAATCTGATATATATTTTATAGTATGTAAACGTAAGACTTGTTAATATACTTTGAGTCTTAAAAGTACATCCCACATCTGCTTGTATAACTACTGTGTCCACAGTATGTATATAAAAATATACAATGTTATGTTGCGTCTGTTTGCAGTCAGCTGTAGCCTTTGAAGTGATACGTGGTTTATTTTCTGGAGTGACCACAGTTCAATTGGATAATCTCGCGGCGGAAACTGCAGCCACTATGGCAACCTGTCATTCTGACTACGCAATATTAGCTGCACGGATTGATGTGTCCAATTTGCACAAGCAAACCAAGAAATCCTTTAGTGGTACACATTATTGCATTAACTTCTTGCAAAAAGAAAATGGTTAACGTTCTTAAATATGTAATTTTTTTTCTTTATCTAAACAGAGGTGATGCACGATTTGTACCATGCTAAGGATCCTGTAACAAAGAAGCACATTCCGATAATAAGCAAGCATTATTACAATATCATCAAGCACAACGCGGAAAGACTGGATTCGGCTATAATATACGACAGAGACTTCAGTTACAATTACATCGGTTTCAAAACGCTCGAGAGGAGTTACTTGCTGAAGATCAATGGCAAGATAGTGGAGAGACCTCAACACATGTTGATGAGAGTGGCCGTTGCTATTCACGAAGACGATATCGATAGGGTTATAGAGACGTACAACTATTTATCCGAGCGTTACTTCACTCATGCTTCGCCAACGTTGTTTAACGCCTGCACAAATAATCAGCAGATGTCTAGGTATAATTTCGGTGATATTTAATTAAACTCGTCAAATATCGATTGCTACGATTTTCTTCACGAGAAGTATAATTTTCCAGCTGCTTCCTTTTAACGCTCAACAACGACAGTATAAACGGAGTCTACGGGACGTTAAAGAAGTGCGCGTTAATCAGCAAATACGCTGGTGGAATAGGTCTCAATGTGCATTGCATTCGCGCGAAAAACATGGAGCATACGTACGAGACCAACAGAACAAATGGTTTGATTTCTGTCTTAAAATTGTACAACGACATAGCCATTTATGTCGATCAAGGAGGAAATAAGAGACCGGGAGCGTTTGCCATATATCTGGAGCCGTGGCATGCTGATATTTTTGATTTTCTAGAACTCAAGAGAAATATTGGTAGTTGTTTTTTCGTAGTCGTTTTGTTTTTAGCATACGAAACAAATCAAAAGTCGAGCATTTGTATCATTCAAGTAGCGATTGCAATTTATGATGCAACATGTGCTGTGTCACAGGAGACGGAAACTTGCGTGCCAGAGATTTATTTTATGCCCTGTGGATACCGGATCTTTTTATGGAACGTGTATATAACGATGAGAAGTGGAGCCTGATGTGTCCTCGTGAATCTCCCGGTTTGGATGATGTTTGGGGTGACAAATTTGAAGAGTTGTATACCAGGTATACCAATCATTTTTTGTTCTTCCAAGTTAGTTAACAGATTTTATATAAAATTCAGTATTTATGAGCTAAATTCCGGCGAAGATATGAGAAATTTGCATAAAATATGTTTGCAGATATGAAAAGGAAGGTCGCTACAGGAAACAAGTACAGGCCAGGACCGTGTGGGTCGCCATTCTTAGATCGCAAGTGGAAACGGGAACGCCTTACATGCTTTATAAAGATCATTGCAATCGGAAATCAAATCACCAGCATCTAGGCACGATTAAATGCAGTAACTTGTGCACTGAAATCATCGAGTACTCCAGCCCGGATGAAGTTGCTGTGTGCAATTTGGCATCCATCGCCGTTAACATGTTCGTCGATCCCAATGAGAAAACGTTCGACTTCGAAAAACTTAAAACGGTCACGAAAATCGTCACTCGTAACTTGGATAAGGTTATAGACGTTAATTTTTACCCCATCCCTGAGGCGAAAAAGTCTAATCAAAGACACAGACCTATTGGTAAAGACAATTGTATTTAATACATAATTTTTGTTAAGCTTTACAGATGTTTCAAGTGTCATGAGTCTTGAATGTGATCAGTAGAAAACTATGTTTTATATGTTAACTTTGTATGTTTATATTTTTTGTTAGGTATCGGAATACAAGGGCTAGCGGATGCGTTTTTGTTGATGAGGTATCCGTTTGAGAGCAAAGAAGCGAAGGAACTAAACATTAAGATCTTCGAAACGCTTTACTACAGTGCCTTAGAAGCCAGTTGCGAGATAGCTATGGAAAAAGGAACTTACGAAACGTACGAAGGTAGTCCAGTTAGTAAAGGCGTAAGTTTGTAAAATTTTTCCTGATAAAAAGAAATTGCGAAAAACTGCATTGTGCGATCTCGTGCAATCTTTGATAAAATCTTTCTAGATTCTTCAATACGATATGTGGGACGTAAAACCGACAAATTTGTGGAATTGGGACGAATTGAAGGCAAAAATCGCGAAGCACGGTGTCAGAAATTCGCTTTTGATAGCTCCCATGCCTACGGCCTCCACGGCGCAGATTTTAGGAAATAACGAGTCCATCGAGCCTTACACAAGCAATATCTATATTAGACGCGTGCTATCGGGAGAATTCGTTATCGTTAATCCGCATCTGATGCGAGACTTGACCGCCAAAGGTTTATGGAACGAGGACATGCAGAACGAGATCGTGGCGAATTTTGGATCTGTTCAAGTACGCTGCTTCCGATTATCGATTTATAAATAAAGAATCACAATCCTAAAGAGGTGTATATACACTTTGCAGAACATCGAATGCATTCCCGACGAGTTGAAGGTACTTTACAAAACCGTGTGGGAGATACCGCAGAAAGTAATTCTTGAAATGGCTGCTGATCGCGGAGCTTTCATTGATCAGTCGCAATCACTGAATGTTCATATAGGGGATCCGACTATTGAGAAACTCACGTCGATGCATTTCTTTGGTTGGAAGAGTGTAAGAGTGTAACATTAAAGTTCTAGATATTTGTAAAAATTTTGTGACTGTTTATGTGACAATATAATTTTGTGGATAAATTAACTTTCTTAGACTAAGTGTGTGTAAAGCTTTTTCTTCAAATGATATTGTTTTAATTTAGTTTTGCGTTAGGAGAAAATGTTTTACGGTCATTGATCTAAAATTTTTCTTCTGCTTACAGGGTTTGAAGACTGGTATGTATTATTTGAGAACAAAGCCAGCTGCAAATCCTATACAATTTACAGTGGATCAATCGAAACTGCGCAATCGTGAATTTAGCAACTCCACTACTCCTGTCAAGTCGCCCGACAGAAGTAGCGACGATGACATCACCGCGGAAAAGCGAAACCAAATAAATCAGCAAGCGACTAAAAACTTAGAAGCGATGCTTGTTTGTTCCCGCGAGAACGGAGACGCCTGCTTAGCGTGCAGCTCGTGAGAATTTATTAATTTTAAACTTTATCTCTTAAGAGAAAACACACGTGCTTTCTACTTTTTGTAAGTTATATACATACGGAGCAATGTTATTGCATATACGTTTTGTGTATTTTTCATATTAAATTGTTACTAAGATAATCGTTTTGTACAAATATTAGTGTGTGTAGATAAAAAACTAATTAAATTAATCAATTAAAAATTAATCAAGAAAAGAAACTGGTCATGTGGAACCGTGCGCACACAGTTGGTCTGGTGCAATAATTTTTACTCTTGATGCTTTAATACAAAATTGCATACGTTTCGATCCGTTATATGTTCGAATCATTTTCAATACAGTCTTTGTAACTTGGATGAATAACAATTTGAATACAAAATATGATTTTGTATTAATGCAATGAAAGTTAAGATTATGCGTCAGAGACTGCGTAACTGCGTACGGTTTCATACGAGCAGTTCGTTTTTCTTGATTAATTTTATAAAAGTTACAAAAAAACTTATATACGGAAATAAATATTAACAGGTTTAATTGACAGTTTTGTTGTGTAAAAATGTTTTGATTTTTAGAATTATTTAAATATATGGACGATAGTTCATTTTTTTAAGAAAAAGGTTGTTTACATTTTTGGGAGAGAATAAACATAGAAAAAAATTTATGAATAATTTTAATTTTTTTTTTGTTTTCAGCTTTTTTTAGACAGTATTTCAAATTTTTAAACGAAAAGATTCTCATTGGTTAGGAGTTCATAGCACAAATGGCGGATGCTCAGTATCAGACGCAGTTGGCCATATATGAAATGTATGGCGCACACACACACACACATTCCAGTGTATTTTACAGTTCAGTGGTTCGAAATTTTCATCTTAACTCAATTCAATCAATTTGTTCAACGCCGCACATAGAATTGCATCTTTCTTGCGTGGCCATTTTTAACCAAGTGTCCAGATTAGAGGGACTTTATCATATATCACTAGCTAGGAAAACGTGGCGTCGCTGCGGAATACGGAGACAAGTTTGTGACGACTTTGACGATCTGGCAGTCGGATGTCGGAAGCGTATTTATTTTTGTTTGGAAATTAGTCCGCAAGATCCGTGTGTGCCTGTGTGTGAGCGTGTCATCGGGCCGTGCGTTTCTCGCACCGATTCTGGTGATTGGATCTCGGAGTTACTTTCTCATCGGAGATCAAGAACCGAAAAACATGACCCGTAAGTTGAGACCGTCCGTCAATCACGTTGCGATAATTTTGCAAGAGAAATAACGAGAAGAAACTCGCAGCGACGGACGTTTATGATTAAACGCTAATAGGATTAGCACAAAATGATTGCGCGAGATTATCGACATCCCAAAACGTTCGCAGATATATGTAATAATTCTTCGAAAAAACAATCGAGCACACGCTTGTCGAGGTTATTGTGCTCCGAATTTTCTCGAGAATCTTCTTTCTACAAGGTGTTCCGAAAGACGAGGGATCGATGTTCTTTTGGAGATAGTAAAACCACGGTGGAAACGATTTTCGCAAATGTTTTTGTAACAGTTTGTTAAAAACGAAACTAGAGGATATTTATTGAAAAATAAATATCTGCAACAAAAAAAGCAGTACGTTATATCAGTAACACGTTTCGGAGAAGAACACAAATTATTTACTTTCGGTTTTCGATACTCTGTAATGTACACACGAGAGATTACATTACGTCAGTGCGTTTATTGCGCACATACAGCTGAGCGCTTTTGATGTGTGCGAGCAATTTTATTCTTTGAACAACGAATATAAACTACTCGCTTTTTATTCGATATATTCCAGCTAGTGCACGCAACGTGCCTGTTATATTCAATAAAAAGCGATATAAATAAACAGAACGTTACAAGCGAGTAATATTCTAATTTTCATCGTCGATTGTAAGTCATTTAAAAGGTCGTTTCACATGGCATGTACATGGTTGCCTTTTAATAAATTTTGGAGCACAGGTGTGTTGTGCGAACCGCCATTTTTACTAGATCAAAGAATACGACGAGCACATGCGCAAACAAATGCCTTTGTGTATTATATACTTAGCAAGTTCAAGTTGAGTGAAAAAAATAAAGTCAAATTAAAGTTTGAGGAGATTAAAAAGTCAAATGATATAAAAAGCTTGAAAATAAATTTGAAAAAAAAATTTAATTCTAATTGACAAGAAAAATTTACTTGACCTTCCAAGAAATTTTCTCATTCTTTGTTGTAGGTGGAAATCAACGTGAACTAGCACGCGCGAAAAACTTGAAAAAAACCGTAAAGAAGGCAGCTTCCGAACAAGAAAGTAACAAAGGTCTCTCCTTGGAACAACGTAAAGCACGGTGCGCTTTTTGATATTTTCTTTTATCGCAACGGGACAAGAATCGAAAAGCTTAGATTATCGTGATTGGAAATCGATTCCGAACAATCGCGCGATAGTTGACACAGATCCGCATTGTTATATCACCAATCGAAAAAGTATCTCTTTTCTCTTTGCAGCGATGCCGAACGAATGAGAGAAAAACAACAGAAGAAACAGGAAGAAAAACAAGCCGACAAGTCCAAGCAAGCGGCGAGGTAAAATTCAACGCGAGAAGACTGTAAAAAATTTTTACAAATAAAGAAAACGGTTGTATAACAGCACCATGCCTACGTTTAAGAAATTCACGATTGCGAGAAGCACACAGGCTTACATTTGGGAACGCAAAAACAACTCGGCATGTTTTCATTGTTAGAGAACTTTTCCATTCAGTCAAACTGTAAGCAGGTATGCCCGTTTCTATGACGTACCGTATGATCTAGCCTTGATATTACATCTCGTTATTTACGTAATGCTTATAAAAAACAGTTGTAGTCAGTGTATAAAAGAAAAATCTCGAACGTGTGTTACTCACCCTCTCCCCTCTCCTCTCCTTCCTATACACAGTAAAATCACTCAGTGAGAATGCGCTGTTTTTTCTCTAGATATAAGGATAATTAATTAAAATAATACGATAATTGTAGTATATATAATTTCTAATCTGTGTAAAAAAATATTCAGACTTTCACTTATTTAATGTTATGTAATGTATTACATGTGTAAGTGAGCGAGCGATTATTAGACTCTACACACACACACACACATGTATTACCGTCGTCGTTCCTTTTCGCTCGTAATAAATTATTCAAATTTTAACATGTGATGCAAATTCTCTTGTCCCATTTTTATTTTTTTATTTTTTTTGGCAAAATACAAATTAAATGTTTATGCGCGACAATGTGCCGCCTCCCCCCCAAAAAAGGATAAGAAAACGTGGTACCTTTCACAATTGTTTCTCAATTTTTTTATTGCACTTTCCCAAAAAGAGTACATTTTCTTAACATATTAATTTTTTTTTAATATCGCGATATTTCATAACTTCGCTCGTAATTACAAATAATTGATTGATTGATTAACATTAAATCCAATGAGGAATGTAGGGTGTATGATTCCATAAATGTGTGTCACTGCGGTGGAAGACCGACCCTTTTATTAATATATCGCTAACCGGGGAGAGGGGAAAGGAGAGAAAAATATACACTATGCTAAACGTACGACGAACGTATTTGTTTATAAAGCCTCTAAGGACCAAAAACCCTCGTGAGATTTGGTTACACTCACTGCAATCGGAAACGAAATTCTCTCTCAAGTTTCAATTATCGGGGTCATTAAATGGATTTGCTAGGCTTGTATCTTTTCGCATTCTACCTCGTCTATAAGCAGGAACCAGCGCCGCTCGTTTACTCGCGTTTTGTCTTTTTTTCTTTCTTTTGTTTGGCTTCGAGTTTTTTTTTTAATTAATATGCACAAGGAACAACGCGTACATTTGAGCATTTACTTAATTTATACTACTAGTACGTGGTAGTTCATTGTAAAACTTGTTACATGCGATAGTTCAATGATGATTGCGTGATATCCGTTTGAAATCTGTCTTTTCAATTGTGTATATTGTTCAGCTATTGCACAAAGCTAACACGTGCTGGCACGGGTATATATATATATATATAAACAAATGGACTGAGTAAATTTGCAGAATTTTCTTTGTCCGTACAATTACTTTTACACAGTCCGATTTGTGCCGTGCTTTTTGTTAATTGGAACAACAAAGTTTGTTTCACGTCAAAAGTTAAACAATTCTCTTGATTGATTTTTCACTTAATTCAATTTCGCTAAGTTACTATTATTCCGTAAGAAAAACACTCGTAGGTTTTTATTATGAGAATTCAATTATTCCTTTGCATATATAAATCTGAACTATTTGCTGTAAACTCGCGCCACGCGCGTTAATTAAAAATCTTACATATATCTTTCTAAAAATGGGCGGCTGAATGCTGTTTTTTTTTTGTTTTTTTTTTGTTTCTTTTTTCGCTTGTCTTCCTGTCAATTAGTCTTTACAAATTCCGTATACGTACAATTTTCATATATAATAATATATTATCGTAATCACAATGCGTTTTTATTTAATAATATAAATATTTACTTATACGTGTCTATTTCGATGATGCAACATTTGTTTTTTGTTCGCACGTGGAAAAATTGATTAACACACCTAATGCGATATTTTTCAGAAACACAGAGTGAAAAAAATTCTAAAGAGAAAGATTTCATGCTTGACATATTTGCGTTAAAAGTCGAGTGAATCTTATCTATCGGTGTGTGTCTGTATGTGTGTGAAAATGTGTGTTGTTACCTTATTATTACAACACTCTATTTGTAACAGTAGCACCATATTTGTATTGTTCGTGACGTAATGCAGATTTATGTGATACGTGTTGCGTCATACGCAGAATTTGTTTCTGAGACGAATAATAGCGTAACTATTTGCATCTTAAAATGTCATTTTCTATTTTTTAGTATGTGTTCACCAGATTTGAAAAGATATCCGAACTGTCTCTCTCTTATTAGTTTTTTTTTTTTTT